ATTTCTATTAAAGGAAGATGCAACCAGAAAGCAAATTTATCTGGAACTGGTTCACCACTGTTAGCGTTTCCTCGCTGCTGTGCCAGGTTTTTACACTGCTACCAATGCAGGCCTCTTAAGCATGACCGTTAACCATGATCTTGCCTTCACGCATTCAGCAGCCTGTGGAGAAGAGTGCCCCTGAGGTCCATGCCCCCGAGGTCCCTGCACAGAGCCCCCCAGCCGCGAGCCTCGCAGGTGCCGCCCAGAGCAGCGACGTGCCCCCAGGCATTCTGTACAAGGTGAGGGCTTCGTCTGCCGGGTTGGAGCGTGAAAGTTACAAACGACAGCTTGGAAGTACAGTCATACCTCGGTATACGACCGCTTTGGAATACGTCGAATTTGGTGTATGTGTTTTGGCGAGAAAAAAATGTCTTGGGATACGACGTCTTGCTTGGGATACGACGCGCTTGCTAGAACTTGTATGGGTCGGGAGGAGTCACCGCGTACCCGCGTATACCCCGTTCACGAATCCTCCCCTTCCTCACCACCATCCTCGTAGGCTATCAACTTTTATTTCAATTTATTTTAATTTATTATGCATTATTTTAACTCTATGTATGCATTTTAGTAATAGTAGTGTCTAAATTATTTTATACAACCCCCATTAATGTATAATTAAGCCATATAAAATATAATTTCTTATACTCTGGAATGGATTATTTCCGTTCCCTTTAGTTCTTTTGGAAAAAATTCGTTTTGGTGGACGTCATTTCGTGGAAGTCCTACCTTCTGGAACGAATAAACCGACTTATACCGAGGTACCACTATACAGGTCTCCCTTACTTTATGCAGTAGATGCTGTCCAAAAAGAGGGGGGGGGGGGCGCACAGCGAAACCACGCGAAGAGACGGCTGCCTGCCGAGCAGCGCATGCAGTGCTGTATGCACACAATGTTGTCCCACGTGCGACCACATCGCTTGCATACGAGTGATTCAACCCCGTATCGCGAATTTTAGGTAGAAATAGGTTAGCCGCATATTGCACAATCTGAACCAGATAAAGCAAGGACATCTTTATATAGATAGGTGACCGTCAATCATTAGTCGTAAACTGCCCATTGAGATTAGACATCTTTTTTCATAGTCAATATGGGCTTAATATGTAAAGCAAAACAGCAAACACATTCAAATGTGAGTACCAAATATGCAGAAACACCGTTTTAACATTTACAATGGAATTAGTGTAAAATACTTATAATTAATCACAGCCCTTTTGTCAAATAACGTATTGATGAAGGTCTCCTTGCGCTGGAGTTAGGGTTAGTAGGAGCAGAGTGGGGGAGGCTCGGACCATATCACTCGGCGCTGATGTTAGCCATGGCTGGGGTAAGACTGGGTGCAATGCATGAACCAATGCGCCACTGCTCACCTACTATAGATAGTGAATGTGTTACTCCTCATGATACTGTAGATAGGGAGTAAGCCCACTACGCTACAAACCCAGTGATCCGAGTTTGAATCCCACCTCACGGCCACCACCAGTGGCGATTATCTGAACCGGTCTAGGGCCTCCCCTAGGTTGACTCAGCCTCAGATGAATTGCATGGTGTGTGAACATCGCAACTCGGGATACAAAGGCGGTCGGGCGTGCTACTGGCCACCCACGCCCTTGTGTGCTGTGCCAGCCTTCATAGGTCCTACTTGCTAACAGCATATCCCCCAAGAGTGTGTTAAGGTTATACGGGGGGGGGAGGGAGTTTTGTCTTGGATAGATGGCGAGCTGATCCAGAACCACTGACTTGAGACCCTGGGTTTGAATGTAGGCAACCATCCGTGATTAATCTGGGTTCTCAACTTAACAAATTTATGGTCTCAGCCTAGTTACCAGTTAATGCTCCAACACTCAATATTTACTTGCGCACAGATTATTCCTGATATTTGAGAGGTCACGTTTTCATTACGATAGACACTTGGTGAACACTCTGGAGCCGTTCTCTGATGCAAGGTTGTGCACTGTTTACTGTGAGCGTTACACGCGAAAATCTGTCGTCCAGTAAAAATGATGCCGATCACACAATTGAACTATAATTTGGAAGAAATTAAGTGATTTAAGGAATCCTCCTGATGTCACGGTTTATGCAGGGTATTTATGTATAACGAGCAGGAACCCGCGGAACTTCTGCCACAAAGGGATAGCGAATATGTTCGTTTTACCTTTAGTTTTTAATGTTTACGACATTTTAATATTTCAGCAGCTCAATTCATTTTGAAGTTATTATTTAACATTTAATTTAAATTTAGTTTTCGTATTTTTTTTGCAATTAGTGTTTTCCACTCTTGCATCTATTGATGTCTTAACCCCCCCCTCTCCTCACCACTCCTGCATCTCTGGATGTGATCACTTCCTGTCCTGCACCTCACCCGTGTCACGTGACATCAACCCCTCTCCCCACCACCCCCGTGTTTTGTGACGTCACTCCCTCTCCTCAGCAACTCGCCACAATCTCTAGTGATGTCACCCCCCCCTCTCCTCACCACCTTCAACATATTGTGACGGTATCATATCTGTCAACCCCTTATCAGTGCTTACCTTATTACAGACTAATTCAGACCTTATTGGTCACCCCGTGCCCTTATACATTTCAACGTCGTCCTACAAAGTCCCATCACAAGGGAAGAAACACAAACATAGTTTTTGTTGTTGCCCGTATTGAAACGGCTGTATGCCGTGTGAACTTGAAAACTCAAATTCCCTGTACAAGAATACGGGTAAAGCATATGGGTTGACAGGTATGTCATCACCCCCCCCTCTTCCCGACCTCACTCCAAACTGGAATGACGTCTGTACTCCTCTCCCCAACACCGCAGTGTCTCTGAGGTTATCAGCCCCTCCACTCCAGCCCAATCATCAACCCCTCCTCTTCGCCTCACCAGGGTGGCATGATGTCAAACCACTCCCACCTTGCCACCCAGCCAAACTTATGTTCTTCTTTCCATGTATGTCCCGGAGCATTACAGACAGACAAACACGCATATTAATGTATAGAGATAATGATAAGTTTAACTTGTAATACACGCGCAGTAATTATTCACTCTTGAAGAGATAGAATACAATTTAGAGGTTCAAGGAACCACAGATAGGAAGGCAGCCACACTGTGATTTCCCAAGCTCTGCAGTTTCTTTAAATTAAGGTATTAGCCACTTGATGAGTCTTCTTGGTTCTCTCGGTAAAGTCACGTAGAAGGGAAATATTAAAATAATAAAAATAAACATAATTGTGAGAATTTTATTTTATTATGTTTTATTTTTATTATTTTATTATTTCCCTTCTACGTGACTTTACCAAAAGAACCAAGAAGATGAATCCCTGCAGTCACGAAAGCTTGAAATCGATACTTAATGAGTGGTTCCATGTGGGAGGAAACCGGAGCACTGGAGTAATCCATACATGAAAGGGGGCAACACTCTATCCCATACAGACAAAATAGGTGGAGTCCAGGTTTTTGGTCTACAGCATTCTCGTGGCAAGCCAGGGTATGGCTCTTCGATGCGCACGGGAAGGGAATTTGACAACATCTGTGTGATCCACAAACCCACGCTGCCTCAGAAGTGCTGAATTTTCGGAAGAGATTAACATGCTTGTGGTGGCATCCCGTTCTCTCCGTGTTCCTAGGTGCAGGCCCAGCACAACTACACGGCTCTGGATTCGGACGAATTGGGCCTCCATCTTGGAGATGTGGTGTTCGTACTGCCCCCCGACAGTGGTGACGAGCAGGTAGAAAACCTTTATGTCTGGATACTGGCGTTAAACAGCTTAAAGACGATCGCTACGTTGCACGCTTTCAGATGCGATTATGTGGCCGTCTGGAACGCTCTTCCGATATTAAGAAGCCACTAGAGCTATGCACTTTTAAATTTATATTGAAAACTCATTTATTTATAACTGCTTTTTATTTAGTTTGTTGTCCTTCCACCTCCGATTAGGATGGTTGGCTACGTACGATGCGAAAAAAAGTTCAACATACATACATAAAGTGGTTTTATCCGCGCAAGTTTAAGGAAGGTTCAGCCTAGAGATATCATATATCTCAAAGTACCGATCATATAGATCTAATATTGTGGATACATACCTTGGCTTTTTGCTTCCTGGGGTGTCCAACATGAGTTTTAAGTTTCATAAATGAGCAGTCATAAAAAGTGAATCAACTGCTGGACGAGGGCCTCCCCACACTACTCGTCACGGAGGATTATCAGACCACACTTCACCATGCTGGTCAGTGTGGGTTGGTGAAGGTGGGGAACATATAAGCTGGAGTATAATACAGTACAACAATTGGTTTATCTGCACCCCGCCCTCCACGGTCACACACAAAGTGGTACCCCAGACGAATGAAGGGATGTGTTTGAACCCAAATGGTTATTTGGACACGTAATTTTTAGATGGTGAGTGAAGCTCACGGGCACCATCTAAACAGTTAAATGAGGCATCTATTCAAATGTTTGTCAGTATTCTGTCACAGGGTAAAAAGCCCTCCGATATGTTTGTGTTTTGGTACTGCCCCAGTTGGTGTTATAATGCCTATGAGATAAAGGGGAATGAGGCAAGTGAGCCATAGCTGATATTTGATTTAAGGACCACGATAAATCCCTGTACTCTGTATCTTCATCAAGTGGACATTTTAGTGCTTGACGTGCATCCCCGTATAGATGGTATAAACTTAATATATGTTATTTTGGTGAGTTATTTCAGTTTGATTTCAGTTTCATTTCGTAGGTATAACCCTGTGAGCCATGCGGCTCTTGACTCGGGTGCAACCGCAACAAAACAAAAACATGAACGAGAAACATCTTAAAGTGACCACACGCAACAGAAAACTCCTGGGAAAAAACAGCAAAGTTGTGAGCAGTACAATAAATAAGCAAGGGTTTGTATCAGCGACAAAGAAAAATAAAATTACATCAAGGTTCATCAGCCAAAAAACATTTTTGGGCCAGTGTTTTATAACAGCATGTTGTGTCAGCAAAATAACCTTGGACCAGTTTCAAATGTGAGTCTCATCTGCTGGGTATGGCGTGTATCACGAATGCTGCTGTCTTGACCTAATGTTACAGGCACCGTGACCTCCATGAATAACATGGGGCCCATTTATTTAAATACAGCAACATCAGCGAACCCAGAAGATAACCCCTTTGCTGCTGGAGTGTTATTTTATGAACCCTTGAAATTGTTTGCTGACACAAAGTCTCCTGACAACTGATGTGGTTGAGAGTTCACTGCAATGTTTTACGTAATCTTCAGCCATCACACCTTCATCTTAATATCCCGCAGATAAAACTGTCACTCTTCTGAGACAAGCAATAGATTTGCTGCCCGGTGTGCACTTTTAGATGTTATGCTGCATAATAAGTGGATGGTTCGCAGGCTTAATTCCCTACGGACGTAATTTGTGCGATGACGTACACTTGCGTGTCTACGTAAGCTATCTTTTGGTCCACAACCCCACCTGCCTGTGTGTTTGCACTCGCAGGATTCCGGCTGGCTTCTGGGCATCAAGGAAGCTGACTGGATCACTCACAAAGATCTTGATGGACACAAGGGTGTGTTTCCAGAAAACTTCACCGTGCGCGTAGACTAAGCGCCACTCCAAGAGACTCGCGCACTAGTAATGATGTGCTGCCTCGGCAAATTGCGAGTAATACAGATATGAAAGTAAACTAGCCAGCCATCTGTTTAAACCCTTCAATGAAAAGGCGTTTAACTGGTTGAACAGTTTTCCTTCCGTATCAATGAGTTCCCAGTGGCGTTTCAGACTGATTTGAAATGTACTCGCTGGAAAAAAGTCTGTGGTTTGCTTTGATTGAACAAAATGCGACGAGATACATTGATTTGGGTGGTCTGTTGATCGATAATTTAAATGTTATTTCATTTTGCCAATTAAACAGTTGTCTTCGCCTGTTCATGTATTCATTTAAACAATTAGCTTATTAAAGGAAAGTCATCTCATGGTAGCTTAGTGACTAATTAGGATGCAGTGTTTAAAAACACGTCACTCGCTTGTGACGTCTGTAAAACCAGAGGTGTGTACCAACTTGCCACCCGGCGATTCGATATTTTCTTCCGATTTGGGAGTCGCAATTCGATTGAAGAATGTATTTCCTTGTTTGTACCGTCTCGTTCGTTATCCTGTGTATGTTCGATCTTGTTCGTTCAATGAGCCTAACGTTCATTCGTATACAATTTAGCAGCTTATGGCGCCATCCATTTAGTACGTGCGCATGGAGGGGGGAGGGGTTAACCATAATGCGTACGCTTGCGGATGGGGGGGTCTACTGACAATGTACGTACGCATAGGAAAGGGGGGGGGGGGTGAAGCCTCGATAATTTGTCTTCAAATGAGGTAGAGGGGGAGGGGTCAAGTTTTCACAGATTTTTGCATACGTACTAAATGGATGGCCCCTATTTTAGTAGATTAATCGTCTGCTTAATCTTAAAGGCCACTTGGCTTTTTTTCCCTTCGCTGTTTACCTCGCACCACTTAGAGCAGGATGACTTACTGTTTGATTGACATTTCTGGCGTTTAACTTGAAAATCATTCAAGTTCACGATTGAAAAAAACCCATTAGTAGCATTGTGTGACTCATTGTTAATTTATCTGAATCACATAGACGATCGGTAATAAACATCCATTTGATTTGCGATAAACCTACTGTCATTTGAGAAGGAGAGTTGTGATCGAGCAACTTGATACATTTAAAACAACACTATATAACCACCGTCAACACCGTTCATGAAATCTCAATAATAAGAATGAGAAGTCTGCCTTCTCAGACGAGCAATGTGGCAGTGCTCACCTTAACTGCCAGTCCTAAGCCAGTTGTGGAAATTCTGTATGCAGTACCTTTGGTGGAGGCCATTATCTCAATTAAACAAGCATTGTAGACCTGGTAGCTGTCCTAATTTTCGCCACCCTGAAAGAATGATGGGCCCGAATTTAATTTGCAATCTTCCAATTCTGAGCGAGGCGTCCCAACCACAGCGCCACCTCGCCAGAAAGCAATGAGAATAGGGCTGGTGCATCTCCATTTAGCTGTGAAACTAACACGACCGTAGCACCGATTACAGGCTCCCAGTCTTTGGGGTGGCCTTGCATCATTGTGACTTCTATAACTTTGTAGCTCTTCGATGCGCTTACCGGTTGTACCGCTAGTTGTTCGGAACTAATGTCCGATGTTTGATTCCACATGCTGAGAACTTCTCCAGGAACTGAATTGAGCTGGCAGAACGAGCTCCCAGCGTGTGGAGTGAAACGTCGGACGCCAAACCAAAATGTCACAATCCGAAAACAAGTCTGAGAGCCAAGCAGCACAACCGTGAACACTTTCGCTCATGAGCATAATTGGCCATTTGAAAATGTTTGTATTTGAAAATAGCTACTGTGTGGTAAACCCAAAAACCAGCACATTCGTCAATAACAGTGGCCTTCAAAGAAAAATGTGTAATACGTGATGTTTCAGATAATGGCCCTTCTTCAAAACACATGTCGCCTATTATGTTATTTTCTTTTAAGGCCACGGTGTGATTGATGAACGAGTTGAGTTTTTTTTGTTAATTGTCCTTGTGCACCACTGCCAAAGACTGCATCACCACATAATTTGTGTATCTGTGTAATAAGATCAACTCACATTGTTTGGTAATGATTGATTTCAGGACGACAGCAGGCCACCCCATGCTTTACCTTGTGACGTCCCATGTGCAAATTGTTTCAGAAGCTTCGCTTTTAAATTGACAAATACAAGTGCAATAGTATTCTTACCTAATGCATGTGGTTAAGACTTCTGTTCTTATCTGGTAGTGTAACAACAATGTACTCGGTGAACTTTATTTATAACAGCGCTTATCTCGACACTGCTAATGTTATCGCAAGGGCTTCTGATTTTGACACCACAGTTTCCGTAACTTCATGTGGGACATGTCAGCATCCTTGAATGTAACCTGTTAATGTATTGTCATTGATGAATCCACTTGATGTTTGTGGAAATGGGCAAAAAAGCAGACACCAGCCTCGTGGTCCTACGTTTACTCAAACTAGATATATTTTCCTTGGGTTCACCGCTCTAATGAGTAACCAATGCTGCTCCATTGGGGTTGTCAACACTGGATTAACTAGTAATGCATTAGCTCCTCCAGTTGTGATTGTAGATTTAAAGCAGCGGTTGCACATTGTGGTTTAAATTTCAAATTGTGCATGCCAATGAGGATTGCAGAAGGCAAATTATCTGGATAGGGGGTGTATTGTCAGTGAGAAAGTGAAGGCTTGCTGAAGGGATTATGTTGGGAAGTAAATGCCAAGCGGTAGAGAAATGTAAAGCGCTGCTTGACGAATTGAAGATGGAGCCCGTTATGCCAAAATCTGTATGTTTAACTTCTTTCGCACCGTACGTAGTCAACCGTGCTAATTGGAGGTGCGGGGGGAAGGACAACAAACTCAACACAAAACAGTGAAGAGGAAATCGCAAGATCAGAGAAGGCTGAGGAAACTTGAAACAAGAATCTGCCCTTGGGCAGATAACTCGACGACAGATAGACATAACACCGCGTGTCACAATGCCAGCTCTCGCTGCCCGACGTGGGTACGCGTTTGCCATGCGATACCAACCACCGTGTGCGTGGAGTGCACAGTGGCTTCATTCGCAGTACGGGATATAAAAATGATAGGTGATATAAAAAAAAGTTGGGCGTGGCGAAGGCGAGTTGAGAAAAGTTGATGTGGAATATCGCACTTGCATTGTTGACCCGCGAAAGCAATAAGCAACCCCTGTTAAGCATGTGTATTGTACCGGGAAATGTTACATGCCCAAACGTCTGCTGATAGTACAATATAGTGAAGTTCGCGTTGACTTTATGTGCCGAATGTAGCATTGTTTCTCGTTCCTGTTATTAAATGTGTGCATGTACCAGTGACCCGATGACGTTTTCTTTCTACCTACGTTAGAAGTAAAGCAATACCAACTCACAGAAACACTCAACACGGTCGTCTATACCACTGCATGTGGCCTTAAAATAAAAAAATAAAAATGTGTGCTGTAAAGGGACATTGCCCGCATCGTCACCTATTTTGTATATTTTTATTTTAAGGCCATGGTATTTACAAATATGTTGAGTTTTGTCAATTTGTTAACGTTTGTTCAACTACAAACAGCAAATGAAACTAATCTTCTAAAAACTAAACTTTTCTTTTACTAGGTAAGGCCCACTGAACTATACAGCTTTTTACAGAAGTGACCTGGCCACAAATGATAACTCAACGAAGTCACTAATCACGTGGAAGTTTATAGCAGCCGATTACTCTGAATGCATGCTTCTAAATGTGAACGGAAAACACGAAGGAACCAGAGAAAATTCCACGCGACCACGGGGACAACATGAAAACTCCAAACATACAACAGGCGTCATGGTCGGGATCAAACCAACGTCCTGTATCAGGGCCGTCCATAAATGACGTCACGCACCTTATGTGGGGGGGGGGGGGGGTGTTGAGAAATGTGACGTCACATCAAAATGCGCAACTTTAAATAAAATAAGTATAACCCGTAAAAACTAAGTTTTTCACTATAAATCCTTTATATGCGTGGCGGCTAGAGTCCTCTCGTCCTCTGGCTTGAGATGGCTGCCACCTATGGGTCAGATGATTGTCTGCCAGTATTAAGCAATTGGTAATTAAATATTTAATTTATTTTCCCTAAAAAGTGTAAAATTTTGGGAAAAAATTTCACGAACATTAATTGTCTCGCACAACGAGTCTGTGTGCAAAATGTCAGCTCGATTGGATCACGGGAAGTGGGTTAAAAAACGACCGAAAGATTTGCACGGTCGTAAGCAAGCAAGCAAGCGAACTTAATATAAAGGATCTAATAAGACAACACGTTCTACTTAGTTAAATAGACTTTTTAATAAAGGTTTTCTCCTACAACATCAGAGTGCAGCACCACATTAAATACGCACTACAGTGACAATAGTTTAAACCGATTGAAGCATGTTTTATTTTCAAAATGGAAATATGGTTTTGGGGGGGTGGGGGCAGAGCTTTGTGACGTCATATTTGAGGGGGGTCTGACTGTTTACGGCGTGTGACGAGGTGGGGTCAAAAATCGTTCAAAATTGCGTGACGTCATTTATGGACGGCCCCATACCAGGCGAGGTAGTTAACATGTTAAATCCCCCCACACCGCCTCTGTCCACCCTGGGGTATATATGCGTACATCGCAGTTATAGTGAGGTACAGCGTGGGTATTCCCACCTCTTCCGAGGAAACGTTTGTCCATCGTCAGAGAGTCGGCCTCACTACCACCCGAGAGCCGTCATTCACTGCAAGGTCCGTGGGCCACTGGCGGCCCCTCGTGGCCTTTAGTGCGGCCCCTGACGTGCGGCCCCCGACAATACACAACAACACGTGACAACACCCCCCATCGTACTGTCAACCGCAATGGTTTCAAATATGTGACGGCCCTCAACACTGATGTCTTATGGGCGAAAGTGCCCCCCCCCCCCCCACCTGAAAATGAGTGAATGACACTGCTCTAAAGCTTTTTCTAGTGGAGGCCATTCCGTCAGCCTCGGCAAATAATTGCAGGGATGCATCTTCAAATATGTGACGGCCCTCAACATTGATGTCTTATGGGCGAAAGTGCCACTACCCCCCTCCCTGAAAATGAGTGAAGAACACTGCTCTAATGCTTTTTCTCGTCGAGGCCATTCCGTCAGCCTCGGCAAATAATTGCAGGGATGCATCTTCAAATATGTGACGACCCTCAACACTGATGTCTTATGGGCGAAAGTGCCACCACCCCCCCTCCCTGAAAATGAGTGAAGAACACTGCTCTAAAGCTTTTTCTAGTGGAGGCCATTCCGTCAGCCTCGGCAAGAAATTGCAGGGATGCATCTTCACCTTTTTTTTCTCTTCCAATATTCGTAATCAGCCACGGTCGATTCGCTGCTGGATGAAGGCTTTCGCACGCCGTCGCCATCTCTCTCGACCTCGCGTGCCTCAATCTGTCCGTGCGTGATGTGATCGACCATCGCTCCATCTCTGTGTCCGTCCTCTCGGACGGGTTCTCGTCTTTGGCTGCACATCCGACACCAGTTTCATCCAACTGATTATCACCCCATCTATCGTTATTCCAGCCCAAGTTCCACTCACTCTTACTGAGTCTTTATTGTAGGTTATGTCCTACATTCTCTGATCCACTTGTTCAGTGTAATTGCTAACATGCACTCCCCACGGCTCTTAGGGCGTGTTTAAACTCTGTGTTCCATTGGGTAGTATCGATTTTTCTCATGCCAGAGCTGCAACAATGAACTGATTGAAAACATTTGCAGGCACAGTTTCAGACGAGACACAAATATGCGTCAGAAGCACACAGACGTTTTGCGTTATGCAAAAACCATCAGCATTTTCTGAAGAAGCGCATTGTGATCATGGTGCCTTAGGTCAGCATCAAAATAAAATGTGAGCAAATGTGACCGGCAGTGATGCAGATAAATTGTGGACCGATTTCGGCATAATTCTATATTACTCATCGGCAAGAGTATAGAGTCACCGATGCTCACTGATAGAGAGTTTGTCTCGTCATCATTACGAACCATGGCCAGATAGCCCGTAGATAGAAAATAACAAAATTAAAATAAAAAATAATAAAATTAAACAAATTTAATAAAAAAAATAAAAATCTTGATTTGAAGCTTTCGTGCTTGCAGGAATCCATCGAAACGTCGTGATTTATTATTTTTTGTTTTATTAAATTTTTCTACCCACGTGACTTTACCGAAAGAAACTAAAAATCACGACGTTTCGATCGCAACACGAGCGGTCGTCATCAGGTGGAGAGAAAAAGCGGGTGGGGGGGGGGTAAGCCTCTAAATGCAACTGTTTATAGAGTTTTAGAAGTGGGCGAAGCCCAAGTGTCAGAACTAAGTGGTTTGGGCACAATAGTCTACGTCAGCAGTGGATAGAGCATCCTATAGAGATGGAGTCTAGGCCATGATAGAGCAAAAGCTATAGAGATGAAGCATAGGCCAGCAGCGGATCGCGCATGCAGTAGGCATGGTGGACTAGAGGTAGTCTAGCCCAGCAGTGGATAGAGCAGGGCTCCTCACCTTAGCTCTCACCCCAGCAGTTGCAGGCGGAATGAGTGGAGCAGGTTGTGTGAGGGGTTAAGAAGCTGGTGAGCATCGGAGAGTGTTAAAAATGGAAACATTACAGCAGTTACGACTTAAAACTGGTTGATAACGTCATTCCAGTGATTGCTGAGTTTGTACCCGTCATCTCGGTTGAAATTGTGCCTACGTTTGTATATATATTTAAAATTTTCCTATTTTTCCTTTTATTATTTTCTATCTACGTGACTTTTACCGAAAGAACCAACGAATATGAATTCCTGCAGTCACGAAAGTTTTAAGTCAAAATTTCATAATTTGTTTCCCACTTTCCTCTGTCTTGTGTCAATTTGCCCAAGTAGTGCCACATCTTTTTGGCACAAATCTCTTGTGTCGCCAAGATGGTCTCGGTTAGGTCTTCCTCTCTTTCCGGTTCTTTACATTTTTCCGAACAATACACTTTTAATACTGGTAGGAACCTCCTGGTTACACCAGCCCACAGGGGATTATTGTGTCCGTCCGTCCATCGTGCATCCAAAAATGGGAGGGTTGGGGCTGGGTGGAGAGTGGAAGGTGGGGAGGGGCTGGGTGGGGAGGGTGGGGAGGGGCTGGGTGGGGAGGGGAGGGTGGGAGAGGTGGGGCTGGGTGGGGAGGGGCTGGTCACCCCGTGGTGCCCTTATAAAACTCAACGTTTAACCTACTCACGCCGGCTTGTGCCCGCCCTCACAGTCGGGCATATTTGCGGAATACACCACGCCGCCGTTGACCCTGGCCATTGACCGAGCAACCCAACGTTCCTACCAGCTCCCTCCGCAGGAATGTGTTTTTCCTGCTGTCCATCCTGCATGTGTCCAAATAGTGTCAGTTTCCTTCTGTATCAGGTCATATTCTACGTGCAAACTTTTTTTATTCTAAGTTGGTCACTATTTTGATCAAGATTAGATGTGGCATTCTTCTGTAGCAATACATTTCGAGTGCCAATATTTTATCTCTGTCAATCTTTTTTTAATTTCCAAGCTTCGCAGACATACAAAGCTGTACTGAACACGCACGTTCTTAAGATGTTCAGTTTGGTCGTGTAGTCTGTCTCTGGGAAATATCTATGTGGAGTCCCCACATTCATACGATATGAACCCATTAGCTTGACGAATATCAACAACAATCACATCTGTAAATGACCAGAACCCCCCACCATCCCCACCCCATCATGTCCAGAATAAAAATGCAGGCTGGAAAATCGTCAGTTTTAAGCAGCACATATAAATAATATATTTCCATTCTCGTGTCCCTCCAGCAATTATATTACTTTACCCTACCTCCGTAATGGAAACATTCGATGTTAAGTGGTGTCCTTATGATTCATAGAATGTGTTACAGTTTATAAATCACTCGAAATGCGCCCTAACACGCCTCCTCTCGCTAGAACTCGCTAGAAACTTAGCAGGATTTGAGCATGGATAAGCGCCCAAATGGGTGACCGTCACGGACGAACGGGTTGTCATAGATGGATGCTAACACGACCTTAAAAATAAATACAATCGGTGACGTTTCGGGCAATGACCCTTCGTCACAGGCCAGAGAGGTAGAATTACTGTTGTTAAGGCCACAGTGATATTGACGAATGCGTTTTAGTTTGTTTTGGCATGGACGATTCTGCCAATGCCGCATCACCCGAGAAATCGTGTCCGTGAGAGGTCAGTGCAGCAAATCCTGATTCTTAACTTGTTTTCTTCCAAGGATGTTGAACTTCTTTCGCACGTAGCCAACCGTGCTAATCGGCGCTGCGTCTTTGCTCTCCGCC